TAAGTAGATTAAAAGAAAATTAATTGGAAATATTTCCATTTCATATATCAGTTGGTAACACACATCAGAGGGTAAAAATGAAAAGACAAATGTCTATCAACTAGAAAAGCAAGTCTGCTCTCAAATCTAGTGCTATGAGTTCCTGTGGAAAACTTCACAATGATATGACATTCCTAACCTGCCTAAACAAGAGCATACAGAAGAACTGATAGTCATTTTATTCTGTCCTGTATTTCAGATATCATTTCAGCGGAAATTTTCTATTTCCCAAAGTCAAGTGCCTATGAATTTGTATTATAACTGCATTTTTAATTGCTGTCTATCAAGCACTGCGATTAGATGCATGCTGTGGTGAAGAGGGGAAGGAGGAGGGAATTGAATTATTACCTATTTGTAAACTAATGTTAACTTCTGGTCTCAGTCAAGTTAATGCTAAAGCTGGGAGTTCAGTGGGAGCTGAATAAACCCTAAAGGTGTTTTGTTACCACTTGCACTTGCGACCAACAAGTGAACAGGCAAGTTCAAAAATTTCTTGTCTCCAGTCTCTCTGCAGCTTTGAAACACTTTGGTTTGGTTGGGAGTGCTGCTGCCCAAGACTGATCAACTGTTTCCAAGTGCGGGGCCAGAAGACATTGATGCAGGTCAGGAACGGGGACCCAGCAGGTTAGTCCATCTTCTTCCCCCCATGCGCACTTTGACGTGGGGTTTGATTCTTACAGGCTTTAAACAAGTGGAGGAGGCGGCGGTGGTGGCATTTTTCATGCTAAGTGCAGGAAGCGCAGCACCCGCTAAGGAAGGCAATGTAATGCAGAGCAGAATTTGCTGTCTGTGGGTTTAACAGTTGGTTTGGGAAACGGCTGTGATTTTACAAGCCAGCTCTACTAAACCAGACAAAACTGCCCTTGGTGGTCTCTGCCTTGAGTAGTATTTTAAAGCTATTGAATTTCCATGGTTACTTTTTAGCATGCTCCCCGAGTGAAACCCAGGTGAAATGCTACAAGGAGGTATCACCCTGGAAAGGACAGACAGGTAGCACAAGGAGACACGCGTAGAAGTGCCTCAGAGGGGCAAGATCCTGTAGGAACTGTGGCTTCTTGCATTATGTTCTCTGATGCCTGAGGTGAACTAGAAGTCTTTGAAGCAAGCAGATTGCAGGGGAATGGCTTGTCACTTTTGCAGTGCTAATGCTACCCTAAGTTGAACCATTTGATCATCACCCATTCCTGCTCAAAACACAAGTATCTGTGAAATGTTATTGAAGAGAATGACACAGAGCCAAAATGGCTTGGCATTGTAAAAGAGGGAGAAAGAAAGCATATCAAAGGATGCATCAGTGATTTTATGTCTCCTCTTACATTCTGGAGTTTGTAGCAGTCACAGAAACAATTTACTGTTATATTTAGGAAGGAAAATAGCTATAACTCATAGCTAAGTTAGTTCATAATTCCTGTGAAGTGTACCTTAAGTTATCACTGTCCTAAACAAACTTACACTCTAGATAACTGTATTCCACAAATGATGCTTCCAAATTCAGTCTTCGGTTATAATTGAAATGGCAGGAAACACCCCAGAGAAAACCCCATTGTTATATCTGTATGAATTATAAAGTAGTTTTAGGATCCTTTAAGAAATAGCTGCTGACTGGCTTGAAAATAAAAGGTGAAAATAAATACAAGAATTGTTGTTATGTTAGACAGCTGGTTTTTGCAAAAACCTGTGTTAGACAATATCTACATGAATAGTGAGGTAACAGTATTTTTCATCGATGTGTCATCTCCACCTTCTTCATCTTTCCACTAACTTTTGACTAGCTTTTTCTTTCCAGAAAAAGAGCAGGAGTTTAACATAGTCTGCCACAGAGAAAAAGGGAAGAAGTTGAGAGTGAAATTCTATTTTCTAAAACACATTAGTGAAAACAGAAAGGGAAAACAGGAAAGTGGGAAAGTGGTAGGGCCATTTAAAAAGTCAGAGAGAAAAAAAGGATTGAGAGAACGGGAAAATGAGAGGAGAGAGCATGGTGAAAGAGCTGATGGGCAGGTAAAATGAAGTAGCAATAAAGAGAAGATAATGAAGAAGGGTCAAAAAGAGAAAGAGATGGAAAAATAATGATAGGCAGAAGTGAAAGAGAAAAGGAAAGGATATAAAACCAAATAAAAACAGGAGATGGAAGGACATCTAAAGACAGGAAACAGGAAAATGTGGGAAAGAAACGAGAGAGTGGTATTTAATTAATACATGTTGCTACCTTACATCAGAGGGAAGCAAACACAGGGCAGTCATGCCAGTTAGGGCTACAGGATGGGGATAGAGGGGCAATGTCTTTCCCCCCCCCCATTTTTTTAAACATCATTCAAGGCTTTCTAGCCAAGGATGAGCATAATGTGTGTCTGACAGTGAAATGCGGACACTAGCGGCAGCCCCTTCTAAGGAGGTCACCATCAAGCGCAGCAGGCACAGTACGGGCACTGACATCCCTAAATCATTCTGCCATTCTAACCTTCGCTTCCAGCACTTGTAGTGTTTACCCTTATTATGGTATATTTTACAGAACAAATGGACAGCTGGGGTTGTTAGGCCTTATGCTGCTTTATACGGCTGCAGAGGATTATAAACAATCCTAATACTTGATATTCTGGCTTTGTGGGGGAGGCCCATCTCTGTAGTGACAAGGTGCGTCAACCTGAACCAGACAGCAAGCTATCAGATGCAGGCAGACGCTGTAGAACAGACTTATTTTTAAGCTCATATTTTCACGTAAGAAGTCTAGCATTGGTGTGGTCACTGCTTCAAAGTATTTTCTGTAGGCAGTTTTAATAAGTAGCATTTTAAAATGCAAATTGCAAGCTCTTCAGTGAATGTGAGCTGGTGAGTAAATTTTGTGCTGTAGTGAAGTGTGTTACAGTTAGACTCTTGCCCTGGAGTGATGAGGACAAACGGTGGGGTCCGTTGGTGGCAGGTTTTCCTGGCTTCACAGAGCCATGGGGGCCACACCTGCAGCCTAAGGAAGGGCCAAATCATGGACCCATTTTGCTGAGCATTAGTTACCTTCGACTTCAAGAGGCAGCCGCCAGGAGAAAGGGTAGTTTTTATAGGTCTAAATTAAAAGATCAACTTTTATCATCCATCGAGTTTGAAAGCCTTTGCCAATTCTGTCCCCCCCCCCTTTTTTTTTTTTTTTTTTCCCTCCCTCCTTTCAAGAAGACTCAGAAGACTTGGGCTCATGGGATGCTGGTTCCAGGCTACAGCAGCCAGTGGAAGCATCAACACCAGCACCACAAAGCTCAGCCCTTATAATGGTAGGTGAAGCCTCCTGATCAGTGGAAGGGAAATCCATAAGAGACTGAAACCCTTTCTTCCTTGAGCCAAGAGGAAGTCACCATCCACAGCATCTGGAATATTTCTAATGTGCAACCCAAGCATAATAAAGGTGTGAAGGCTAAAAATGGGAAAGACCTACCACAGCTCCAACAGCCAAAGCAAACAGAAAAGAGCTCAGTAGTTACGCCTTCAAATAGCTTGTTCCTCAGTCCTTTTCATATTTCACTGGCATCCTCACAGACACTGGCCCATGTACATAGCAAACCCCAAATGGTTTTAAAACTAACCTAGAAAAGAAAAACAAAAGCCTTATGGATCAGAGGCAGCTGCCTTGCCCTAGATTCTGTACTACCTTAACATGTTTTGCTTTTCTTGTTGCTTTTTTTCTATGTTTGTTTGATTGGGGGGGAGTTGTTTTTTGTTTCATCCTTTCCTATTCTTTTGTCTGCCTTTTCCAAACTACCAAACAAAAAGTCAGATCATCAGTTTTGTTTTACTCTATTTTACAGACCACTGAGAGAAGCTGTAAAATTTAAATTAATTTTTTGGCTTCTCATTTTAATGCTAAAAGAGAACACAACCAGAATTAATGTGGGCAATGATGTGATTTTTCCAGCAGCATCATAACTGTCAGGGAAAGTATTAGACTGCTGCTTGATTAAATATCTCAAATTTACTGTGATTCATTATTTTCTGAGACAATCTTGGCAACAAATGGATTCTGTTTTTACTATTGTCTCAACATTTCTAGCAATAACCTCTTTACAACATTTACATCTAGAAAAAAGAAACAAGAAGTTGAAGTTATGGCTATTACCTTGAGCTAGAACAGTAGAAAGATGTTTGTGGATTTGTCTACTCGCTTGAATAAAAAACTGAAGTGAGATCTGTTTGGCAACCATGTAAAATCTATCCATGTGCTGGCTGTCGCCGAGAATTAAATGCATTCAGAAGAAAAAAGTAGTCTCTCACAGAAAGACTGACAGTGCAGCATCAATCCACTGTCTTCTGTCCCTACCTGTTTGTATCTGCAGACATGTGCATGGACGTATCTTGCTGCTCACATGTATTATTAGAGCCCCTGGCTACAGTGCTGCCAGTTTGTCTAAAAGTGATTTCTCAGATATAATTCAGGTACTGGATACCTCATTTTTTGCATTCCCCATTTAACTCCAAGTTCAGAGATTACTGAGCGCACAAGCCTCTGAAAAGAAGTCAGCATGTTTACCTCATTAAATTTATTCCACTAACAAAAATGGCACCCAGATTGCATTTGGGCGCAGGTTTGGAACTAGGAAGTTTTCTTCAACTTGATTTCACTTGGCTAAACTAAAAGTAATCATGCAGATTCCTCTAACTTTGAACTCCATATGGAGCTGTAAAAATCATGCTTTGCTTTAAAAAGGTCCTTGCTCTCAGCCACAAACTTTTTTTTGGTGTGTACTGGCATCTCAAACCAGCAAGTACTGAGCTCTGCAGGGCTGACCCAGAAAAACATTCATGTAAATGTTTGATTTCAGGTCCTGTTGAGGGCCAGTTCCTGAAAACATAAAGCTAATCACACATTCGACTACTTTATTGGATCGAGACCAGGGCACAAGGTCTCGGAGATGGACGTGTCCGTGCTGTGCTGACAAACATCCGCACCTGGCAATGCGGCCGGCTTTGCTTACAGGCTCCATGCTTCCCTCGGCTATTTTAGGACAGGTTAGGGACCAGTACTGGGGGGCGGTTTATTATGTGAAAAAAGGTCAGAAGTTTGCCTGCTTGCTCGAACCAGCAAAATCTGTTTTTAATCCATGAAAATACACCAAAACACCATTCTTGGAGAAAAAGGTATGTTGTATTTTTCCTGACCGCCGTTTTCCCCGGTGGCAAGTTTCTCATTCAAAATTATATCCACAGCTTTGTTTATGGGACTTTACAGAAGGGTTTGCACGGGTTAGTGAGGGGAGGGAATACTCCTATATGCAGAAACACAGAACCCATTAAAGCACATGAGGCTCTGGTGGTTCCCCTCCCCAGCTGCTACTAAGTTTATTTGCAGGCTGGAAAAGGGGCTGTGGCCCATCTGCACCCCGTATGTGGGAATTCATTTCCAACATAGCCGCAGGAGTGTGGGTCCAGCAGACCCTCCCCTAACCTCCTCTCAGATCCCCCTCCATGCTGACCTAATTGGAGCCAGAGCAGATGCCACTGAGTGCTGCAGTGCCGCGGGGGGGGGGGGGGGGGGGGGGGGGCGTGTTGGAGGCTTGTCTGTGCTGCTGATTCTCCGAGGTCCCCCACCATTCTCTCCCTTCCCGGCATAACCGTGGGGTTAAACAGCATAGCAAACCTTGTGTGGGCCCCTCTGCGTGGGGCGAGCTTCACCCTTAGAGCAAACCAAGCTTCACACTGGATGGTGGGGCAGGAGCGGGAGATCAAAGAGGGAAATGCTGTGTTGCTGCACCACATCTTCTGGGTCTGAGCCTTTTCCCACTTCAGCTGCAAAGCTCATGCTCGCTGAGCGATGGTGTAGGCATGGGGGGATGTCGTGAGTAAGTATCTCGGGAGGAAAAATCAAAGGGCAATATTGAAACTGAGGCAGGGAAAGGAGATGGTATCGCTTAAATTAGACCTCTCTCCTATATTGTCTTTTGCACAGGAGGAAAAAGTTAGTTTCTTTTTATATTTTGGGCCTGCCTGGAAGATGTTGGGAAGGGCTGTCTTAGACTGGTGAGGGCAAAGGCGTCTTCTATTTTAAACCTTTGTTAAAGGGAAAAGGACAAGCGTAGGAGGGTAGGAGAAAGGACAGATGAACGTTAGCAAACTTAACTGCAAGCAAAAGCATTTGTGAAGGGGTTTGTCCTGAGAAGACAAGCGCTAAGGTTTTGGGGGCTCTTTACTGTTACACAGATATGAGATTAAGCATTAAGAAAGGCAGTAATTCTGTTGCTTCAGTGAATAATTAAGCTAATGAAGGACACTAAAACAAATGATTGTATAGGAAGTACATGCAGGGCAAATGTCAGCAGGCAACCTAACTCTACCTTCAAAAGTTTTTAGACGTTTTAGCAGTTTTATAAATACCCACTTTCATGTGTATCTATCTGTGGCTCCACTGGATATCTCGCCCCCAAGGCCATCTCTGCCCAAAAGGCGGAGTCACATTTAAAGTAAGCAGTGACCTCTGGATCAAAAATAACAGTGTCACATGCTCAAGAAGAGGAGAGAGTGATGGTCATGCTTTATGGCTTTAAGCCTCAGGTTTCGTTTGTTAACATTAACTTCCTTAAGGTCTCTCTTCTTTTTTTTCTTTTTTTTTTTTAATTGAGATTTTTTTTTTCTTTTTCATATAAATTAATTTTTCGCTCAAGAAAAAGTTCATTTTTGTCCAATTTTTTTTGGTAAAATTTATAGCATGTAGATGTTAAATTTGGCAAAAGTGTTTTGCTTTCCTTAAGTAAACACAGAGGTACTGAGGACCAATTCAAGGCTGTGGGAACTGCTGCCATGGCCCCACGTTCCACGTTTTACCCATGGCATTTTCCTGGGAGGGGTAAGCCCCTCTCCCACTACTGTCTAGGCTTTTCGGTATTCTGAAGACTGCTCCACAGACATGCATTTTAAAACTCCCAAATCTCGACATTTGGATGGGGTAACTGCTGGGGACGTTGGCTGCTGTTTCAGGCGGCTAGAGAAAGATTGGTGACTCTGCAGAGAGGAGCAAGGCTTTCTGACATGCCAGTGGTGCTTGTTGGGAACGTACCTCGCTTCTCCTCTCCTATCTGCAGCTCTGAGGCTTCCTTACCACTCTCGGCTCCTCGGTCCTGCCCCGACAGTTTTCCTCACCACCTTAAAGGAAAAATACTGATTATTTATTAAGGACTTCGACTTAACATCATTACATGACTTGTATTTCTCAAGAATAGATGAAGAGGGAATGGTTTACCTCAGAGTCCGGGAGTTTTGCCTGTAAATAACCGCCTGTAATACCTGTCCCCTTTGCTGTAATGAACCAAGGTCTAGTCCTCCTCTACTCTTCAGAGGGAAAGCCCTTATTCACTCTGGTATTAGCCACTACCTTATTTATTTCTTTTCCATGGCTATTAGTATTGAATCAAACTTTGTTTCTGAGGTTTAGAGAGAGGAAAGATGGTTTTAATATTGGCTCTAATTATGTATTTTGCC